TCCTCACCCGAGTACATTTTTTCCATTTATCTTCAGAGAGAGTGTGAGGGAAAGAGGGAGGGAGAGAGGCAGAGGGTGAGAGAAACATCGATGTGAAAGAGATACATCGATTGGCTGCCTCCCACACGACCCCGACCAGGGCCTGGGACTGAACCGCAACTGAGGTACGTGCCCTTGACCAGAATTGAACCCACGACTCTTTGGTCTTTGGGCTGACACTCTCACTGCTGAGCCAAACTGGCCAGGGCTGTGGTGCCTTCTTAATGTTCAACTTCACTTCTCCACCTGGAAGAACTTTCATGGCTTCCCAGCTCATAAACAGGCCATACTCCTCACACTCCTTTACCAATGGGGAGTTACACTGACGCCCACACCACTCCTCCACTGGCCCGGCATTACTACGCACATAGCGCGTGCCAGGCACTGTGCTGGGCAGCCTGTGAGCGCCTGGAGCGGTGGTCCCTTCAGAGACTGCTACGGAAATGTTACAGAACCAGCCGACAGTCTAACCATCACTTATCCTCTGTGCAGTCAGCCAATATCCACTGAGCTCCAGGCACTGTGCCGGGCACCGAGGATGCAGCAGACTCAGACCAGCCCTCAGAAGTTTAGGGTCTTCCAGAGGAACTCCTCTCCGTGGAGAGAGACTCCTGCTGGGGAGAATCCTTGGGACTCTTCTGTCGCTCAGGCCCAGGTCTAGCCAGGACTTCTCATCACAAAAAAGACAAGCTGCCAACATGCAAGTAACAAAAGCAGAAATAGAGCTGCATTCGCTAAGTCTTCAGTATGTTTAATTACTTTGATTTGCTTTTATAAAATCTTGAAAATTCACTGTCTTATTCCCACTTTATTCTTATCAGTTTCCTATTCAGAAACCTCATATTTGATTCAGTTTACCCAGAGTAAAGGAGGAAGGCTTACACCCTCTTATTGGTTCCCCTCCCCAATTATCTTCTTCCAAGATGCTGGTGGAAATGGATTCTATACTCTAAAACTGGAATTTAAAAATGTCGATGTTAGCCCTGGCCAGTTTGGCTCAGTAGTTGGAGCGTTGGCCCGCAGACCAATGAGTCTCGGGTTCAATTCCGGTCAAGGGCTTGTACCTTGGTTGTGGTTCGTCCCTGGCCCTGGTTGGGTCATGCAGGAGGCACTAATCGATGTGTCCCTCTCACGTCGATGTTTCTCTCTCTCTCTCTCCTTCTTACTCCATCTGATGATAAATGGAAAAATATCCTCGGGTGAGGATTAAAAAACACAACAACAAAAAAAACCTCAATGTTATAACAGTCAAACGATATGCAAGGAAAAGCCACCTTTCTTTAGCTAAAGATTCTTTATGAAATTTGATAATGGCTTCTGTTTAATACAGAAATATCAATTCTGCTTAATTCCTGGACAGAGCTTACAATACAGGGACATAAACCTTCACTCACTCACTCAGCCTGGAAAAGTGTGAGGATGGCTATGCATTCGTCATCATTATCACACAAAGGACTGCAGGTGTCACAGAACAAGTACTTGCAGTGGCAGAATTTTGACAAGGAAAGTGACTCATCTACACAGGTCTAGAATCAGAGAGGTTACAAAACCTCACCTCTACTACCTTGTGACCCAGCCAGGACTCAAACCCAGATTGTATGACTCTGAGTCTTAGAAAGCACTTCTCAAGTGGCACTACTCAAGCGTCACCCAGGGCGTGAATGTGAAACAAACACACTTATAACCTCAATTGTTTTCTTTTCTTGTATTCCATGCATACACTGGTGAAAAGTAAACATCTAACCAGCAGTAATTCCCTTGGGAATATATGTCCGTATTTCTGGTTCCACAGATACAAAATAGATTTATGGTAGCTCATGTATAAAATAATATAATAAATAATAATATAAGAATAAACTATTTCGTATACTAACAACTATAAACTTACTTTTGCCCCAACCTGTATATTTAATTCAAAATATCCAAAATGTTATCATTTCAACAATATAATCAATGTGAAAAGTATTAAAACTATTTTACATTATTTTTTTCCAATAGTAATACTTCAAAATCTGGTGTTTTTGCATTTACAACACACCTCAATTCAGGCACTAATTTCATCAGAAATATTTGATCTTATTTAAACTTTTCATAAAGTTTACAGTTTAAAAAGTAGATCTGCATACCCAAGTTGTCCCAAACATATTTAAAAGTTTTCCAATAACTGATTCTAACTATCAGTTCTAAGTTTTATGTGGACTAAAATTAAATAGAATTAAAAATTCAGTGCCTCAGTCACACTAGCATATTCCAAGTGCTCCAGACCCAAGTGTGGGGAGTGGCCTCCGCCCTGGCCAATTCTAGTAAGAATTCCTCCAGGGGGGGATAGATCTGTTCACTCATGAAGAAAACCCAAGACGACTAACTTCCTGCTTCCGATGAGGGAGTACCACCTGGCAGGATGTGGTCACTCCGCTTATTCAGGTAAAAGATGATCTTCCCTGGTCTAAACTAATGGAACATGATATAAAAGGCAGCTCAATAAGCCGAAATTCAAACTCAAGAGGTTTTAAAACAAGAGATTTTTTTTCTTGTTGAATACTCTGCCTCCCTTCTTATGTCCTGATAAATGTATCAGCATATTTATCGAGATTCACTCGGTGCTGCTTCTTGTGAGACAGGTGGGAGCCAGAGAGGGTGTTCTGCAAGTTCTCGTACCTAATTCTAAGGTGTAGAGCTGGGACTCAAGCCCAGGAAGCTCTGACTACATATAAAAAAAAAAAGAGTGTGGCCATTAGAAGCTCCCTAATATCAACACATACCCTAAATTCATGCTTTTCAAAGCTTCTCCCAGTTTTCCCAGGCAGGCAGAACCGAGCAGGGGTCGCCTCACCCCTTTCCCAGTGAGGTGCACAGGCGCCTGCTGGAGCAGTCCCTCCGCTCCGCGTCCAGTGCTGTTTCCAAGATGCCCAGTATCAGGGGGCCGGACAGGGAGGACGTGGCTGTCTGCTATGTACCCCACACACTGCCATCTTTGCCCTGTTCAGTTTTCCAAAGTGCTTTGGGAGGAAGCTGTATCCACATAAGAGATGGAAGTTCCATCAGGTAAAAACAACCTGCCTTAGGTCCCGCAGCCAACTGGCCCAGAGCGGGGATCCCCACCCAGGTCTGCATCCTGAGGGGCAGGCGGCAGCCTAGGATGCCTGACAACGAGGCTCTCCCCCCACCGCAGCAAGAGAAACCTCCCACCAGTTGCTACAACAGAGTGACTGTATGTAACAGACAGCAAGACTTCTCTGTAATTCAGATGCTGCTAATTCAGAATGGCCCTTCTTATGTCTGTACAACTTGCTCAAGTTCTATCGTATTTCTATAGGATGAATTCACAGTCAAGAATAAAAAAGACACTGAGAAGGTGGGTTCTACCTGGTTAAATCTTCAGAGAGAGATTTCGAGGGTGAACATGACCTAGCTCCTGAAGCCCCTGCACAGAGGAACTGGCCTCCCCCTGAGCTGGCTAAACAGCAGCCTGGCAGTGGTCCAGGGCGACAGCCGCAATGAGGACTAAGTCGTCCCTGGACCACATCGGAAATATGGGGCCACTTAACTCAGGGGTGAACATGCGACTCCTTACATAGGGGCAAGACCGTGATCGGTCCTGTTTCCATTCAAGCAGACAGTACCTCTGAGCAGAAATAAACACACTCCTCCCAGTACAGAGCCGTTTCTGTTGAGGCTTTTTCCCTGGTAGAACTGTATGAGTAAAATACAGGCCTCACTACCAACCCAACGTCACCTGGCTGTCAGGCACCTGAAATTCTGGATGTGAACCACACATGACAGAGTGTTATTATTAGCCAAACTTTAGACAGGTTTATGAACACCTGGTTCAGAAAATTACATGCAATAAGTTCCTTATTTTCAATATACAAGAAAAGGTATATAATTTTTTATTAAGAGTCTTTATTAATGGAAAAATCCGTTTCTCCCACCTCCACTAAATAAATATAGAGCAGATATTTAAAGATGATCAGTAACAGTGCCAATGACTAGCCTCTCAGGATACCCACCTGTCTCAGGTCAGCCCTGGATTTCCCATGAGAAAGAACTTTGCTCGAAGAATTTCATAACTCACAAGTGTTTATAGTTCCCATTAAACAAAACAAAAAGAACCAAGTTTCCTAATCTAATCCAAGCGGTAGTTGTTAGAACAATTGAATAACATTTGAGAAGTCAATAGTTCAATTTATGACATAAGATCAATTTTTCCTTCTCTAGAATCTGTAAGCTAAAAAGGTCACCTTTCCACAAATGAGATGGTGTCTGTAAAAGTACCCTACACACCCCTGCACGTGGCAGACCCTCCCGTGTAGGAGGGTATCAGCCGGTCCCAAATCCACAGTGTTCCAACTGCTTTGGCCTGAGCTACATCCTCAAGTTCATAAGGAGGCCCCTACCAGGCCTTGATTTTCTCTAATGCCTGCTCAACCTCCGTTATTGTTACTAATATTTTCCAAAAGTGACCTTTATAAATTAAAATCCATAGAGTTAGCCATAAATCACCTGTTAGACAAGTGTTTTCAACTTTTATTTAGGCAATTCCTCCACCTAAGTGGATACTCAGTCATGAAACAGTTCAGGGAGAAATGACAACCAACAGTGAAATGGTCCACAGAGAAGCTCAAAAGGAGACAATTTCGTCAGCTACACTCACTATAAAGAGTTCTGATATTTTATTTTATGAATGGTAACAGAACAGATCATGTCAGAACTGAAGCATGGGAATTACAGCATTAAATTTCATATCATTTATGAAACTTTACAGGGTTCTTTGCAACAGTCGTGTATGCTCATCAAGGGGTGTTTCAATCCTCCCCCTACAGCCCCCCCAAAAAACCTAGTGTTTACCATTCAGGGCCCAAAAGTTTGAAACACGACACCTCTTTCAAATAAGTTGCTACCCACTGGAAGTGTTTCCAAAGAATCATAGACAAAAAGGGTATCTGATTTCATTTTCTTACCTAGTGTATCTGCAGGAATGCTGGGAACTCTCAATGAACAATTTCAGGAAAATGCCACCTGGAAGAACAAATCAAACAAAATGTTGGATTATTATAAAACAACACAAAGAAGACACCACATAATTTGACATCTCATTAGAATATGTGCTGTTTTAAATACTGGTTCCCAAGCAGCACATCCTTCAGTTTGCACTAGCACCCGGCCAGCAGGAGCCCTGGCGCACCAGCCAAGGCCCAGCCCGCTGATGGGCCAGGAAAACAGAGGGCAGTGGGGAAGGTGCACGGAGAGCACGCACCCTTAATGTCCTTTCCTTTCCCCTCACAAAGGCTCAACTTGAAAATGCGACTTGCGTCCTCGGGGGCACTTTATAACAAGCATAAAGGCTCAAAATCCAGAAACAAATTAAGGAGTGAAATCTGATATTGTGAATGAGGAAACTATCCCGGCAGCACTTTATATCCTTTTAGTTACTCTGTTAACTTTTTTAAAAAAAATTGTATTGATTGATTTTGGAGAGGGAGAGAGAGGAAGAGACAGGAAGGGGGGGAGGAGAGGAGAAGAAGAGAAAAGGGGGGAGGGAGGAATTAGGAAGGGAGGGAGAGAGAAAACGAGAGAGGGAGGGAGAGAGATTTGTTGTTGCATTTACTTATGTATCATTGGTGGATTCTTTAAGTGCCCTGATGGGGGATCAAACCCACAACCTTGGCGTATCTAACCAATTGAGCTACCTGGCTAGGGTGCTATTAACTTTTAAAAGCTAAATGTGCCCTGGCTGGTTTTGCTCAGTGGTTAGAGAGTCGGCCCAAGGTCCAGAGACACCCGGGTTCGGTTCCTGCTAGGGGCACATACCTCGGTTGTGGTTTGTCCCTGGCCTTGGTTGGGTCGTGCAGGTGGCAAACACTCGATGTGTCCCTTTCGCGTTGATGTTTCTCTCTCTCTCCCTCCCACTCTATCTGAACAAAATATGGAAAAATGTCCTCAGGTGAGGGGAAAAAAAAAGCTAAATTCACATGGATGTCAAAGACTGGAGAAATAAAAAAAATGGTCATTAAAACTCTTAACAATAAACAGAGCAACTGGGAAGTAAGAATTTATTGAATGATTAGTCTATTCAGAAATCAAGTATTCCTTTCCCTGTTCTCAGAGCCTTCAAGTAACATTAAAAATTGTAAGTCTATTAATAATTCACAAACAGAGAATCCCAAAATGACTATTCAGGATTGCTTAGAAATGTTCAACAGAAATGGAACAAATTTCTCACAAGAAATACCAGCTAACCATCTGCTGGAAATCTGCCGTGCTCCTGACTGTGTGGCACCAGACTGGACCCGCTCCAGACAGGCGGCTTGCCTGCTGACAGGAGAGACTGATGCTGAAGGAAGCAGCCAGCCTTCCCCAGGATCACATGATCCAGGGTTTCCAAGGAGCACTCTTTTCCCTGCCGTGTGGCCCCTCGGAAGCACCCCTGCCACAACACAGTCTTTCATCACTTCCCAGAGAGGAACCTGACAGTCCTCAATGAAAAACTGGAAAAGAAACTGACTAGCAGATAACAATTAACTTGTGCTTGTGGCATGTTTCAAAGTAATTTTTTCATTTCAAAATGATTAGTCCAATCATGCTATTTAGGACTATAATGGAATATAGACTATAAGTAAAAATTTAGAAATGAGGGGTCTAAGGTTCAAGAAATATTAAAAACACAATTAGGAATGAAGAGAGAATTTTTAACTCCATGTAAGATGGATAAGACAAAAAACATTCAAAAGTCTCGATCCCATTGATAGACAGGAAAACAGGCCACATGCCCATCTTCTATACACCCATCATCAAACTTTGATCATGAAAGTCTACAGTATTGGGCCACTAATATCCATACTTATAACCAGATGACTAGGTTAACAGCAGCAGCAGCATTCATCCAAATTGGACCTGAGGTTTAAAAGTCTCCTCTATCTAAAGAAATTATTTTAGTTCAGTGACAAACTTGAAGATACTGGACAATAGTCACTGGGTTTCACTTTATAAAAAATAAATATAAAAAAGAATTCTGAACTCACAAGGTCCTTTGTTATAATAGCTTAGAGGAGTTGCGATTTTTTAAAACATGGGTCTTAATAAGTTAATTATTAGTTAAATTCCAAGCATTTCCCCCAATTTTATTTTACCCCTTTAGGGGAAGTCCTGGGAAGTTATGATCAGTAATTTTATCTGGAAGTAGCTTCTGGGAAATAGGCCACTAGGATTATTATGAATGGGTTCGTTATAAATGGAGTTCTTGATCAACATTTCATTACCTCTACAAGTTAAATGATTCAAAAAAAAAAATTCTTGAACTAGCACAGCTCAAAATCAAAGACAACATTTTAAAAGTCTCTTTTGTTACATACAACATAAGCAGAGCTCTAGACATTAAGAAGATCTCAAGACCCTAAGGAAGAAGGGAAGGCAGGGTCGAATGCTGACGACCACCTAAAGCTTTCTAAACTCACACTGCTGGTCAAAAGCACTCCCTGGATTACATAAATTTGGCCTAAACTCTGAAAAAAAAAAAAAAGGCATTTGGGAATAAGTTTCAGTATCATGATTAAGCTTTTCTGACAACAAGGTCAAATCTCATGCCAATTATGTGATTGAGTTTGGTCATTAAATAGGATGTTACAGTAATTTTTATTTTAACTCTCACTTTTTTTTTTTTTTAATCCTCACCCGAGGACATTTTTTCATTTTTGTTCAGACAGAGTGGGAGGGAGAGAGAGGAAGAGAGGGAGAGAGAGAAACATCGACGCGAAAGGGACACATTGAGTGGCTGCCTCCTGCACAACCCCAACTGGGGCCGGGGACAAACTGCAACTGAGGTACCTGTCCTTAGCGGGAACCGAACCCAGGTCTCTCTGGACCGCAGACCAACGCTCTAACCGCTGAGCCAAACCGGCCAAGGCAGTAATTTTTATTTTAAAAAAATGCTATTTCAAAAAATATAGTAGACTAAACATGTACTAAGTCAAAGAGCCTCGAAAGTTCACAAAACAGTAGTGATTGCATTAGGCATCAACTCTAAGGCACTGTTCTATGTACTTGATGGAAATTAACCTGTTTACTACCCACAAAAACACAAAACCACTGAAGTAGGTACCAGCTTGTATTATCCCCAAATTAAAGATAAAGAAGCACTTTATCTTTAAAGAACTTTCCAAAAATTAGATGGCTGCAAGTAAGTAAAGATTTGAATCCATGTATATTGTCACATTTCATCCTAACAACTATATAGTACAGGCAGACATTTTTTCCCCAGTTTAAATTTGAGAGAAATAACCTCTGAGGAGTAAAGATTGATTTCCCCAAAGTCACACTTACAGTTTAGTAGGCTACTTGGCCATTTTAATTATTCATAGCCCGATACATAGAGGTATCATTTACTCTCGCAAGTATTGTATTCTAAAATAAATGAAAATCACCATTATTTTTTTGTCAAAAATGTTTACTTCCCATTCACCTCCCCGTGAGTCTCATGCCCTTCTGGTCCATTTCCGGAGATCCGGAGGAAAAACAATAGGCACCGAGCGCCTGAGCACCCACGGGAGAGGCGCCAGCTCTCATTTACTGAATCGCCAAAAACAGGAAGCCGAGTTGTAAGGCCCCTTTCTCAATGATAACTTTGTATGACTTGAAATGCACTGATTTGAATTGTTTCATATTACTCCATAAAACCAGAACCGAGAGGTGTAAATTATCTTGGAAGTTAGTTACAAGAATAGATTTCAACTTAACGAAAGAAAGTCAAATTAAACACAGTTACCCCTCAGTGGTCCAGGTTGCCTCCTGGGGTAGGTTAAGAGACATCTGCTCAGGATCACAGAAGCCACAGAAGGGGAAAGTCTCTGTCCTCTAACGGGGTCCTTCCATGACCCTCGCCACAGACAGTTCACTATGCCCATCTAGGGCGGGAATGGGAGTTCCCATGGCAAAGCCCTGCGTATGTCACATGACACTTTCCAATTCATATTCTCATTTGACCCACACTATGTGTGAGTAAAAGGGTAGCTAGAGTGGCGGTGAGGGCAGACATAATTTATTACTCCCATCTTACAGACCAGGAACGTGAACAACCTACGTGAAATCACACAATTAGTAAATGCTAGAATCTAGCTCTAACCTAGGACTTCTGATTCCCAAGTCCAGGATATTTCCAGCCAGGTGATATTGCAACAACCAAGACATGATGGTTTTCAACCATCAAACTTACTCATCAAGGAAAGGGGCATGGATGGGCCCCCAAAACTTGAAGCATGGAAATGAACACCAAAGGGGAGAAGCTAAAAGCAAAATACTATATGAGACCTTCTCCTCTCACCCCCCACCTCACTGAGAAGCACTCGTCTATGTGTGCAGTAGACACTCTCCAATGCTCGGCTTACATGTGTCAGCTAACGAGTAACTAACTGTCCACATTCTGCTTTCCTGTGGTCTGTTGATACAATAAGCACTTGAGGAAAGAGGTTCACATTTTTAGGGGAGTTGGTGACAGCATAATAAGCACAAAGATCAGTGTCCCATTTCTGCATCTAGAGTTTAAATTTCTCAAAGACTAGGCTGGTAGTTTTTTTAAAAAGTCAATGAAATGCACTGACTCTATTCTGACAAAAGGTCCAGGATAACCTCACATTTGAGTCTGACAACCGGAGTTTCACAGAAATGGGTCAGCCTTTGCAGGCCAGTTGAACCTTGCAAGATTTTCAAAGAAGGACAGGAGGGTGTCAAATTTCCCGAAACTGTCTCCTAAGTAGAGAAGGTGGCAGGCTGCCAAATGCTGGGCGGCGCTAGCTCACTCCAGTGAATGCTGGCAACCTGAACCTCTGCGAGGCCGGCCCTGCCACTCAGCCCGAGTGAATGACTGAAGTTCAAGTTTCCAGAGACCTCACAGACTACGAGCCAACTGTTGTTAATCACAAAAACTTCCTTTTACTCAAGGAAGGAGAAACTACTTGATTCAAAAATCGCATCAACATGAGGGGTAAGTTTTACCTATCTGGGTTCAACAGACTAGCCTACTAATG